GATTTATTTCGACAATTTTTTTTTTTTTAGATTTCAGAATCCAAGAAAAAGAATTTTACTCCAATTTTTCATAATAATTTCTAATAAATTACAAAATTATTCAATTTTTGAAAACGAGTTTTAAAAACGATTTAATGAAAAGATTATTTACTCAATTTATTTAGCTTTATTAGTAGAGTATTTAATTGACGTTGATCGAAATTGCTTTAACAATTTACTGTATTAACTATGGAAATAGATCATCAAGTTTGAACCTTATCCATAAGATTAAAGATTCGTTATGAATTCCTTTAGTAATAAGCGTGAAAAGTAAAAAGCAATTTCATATAATAATTTCTTTTTATTTATTGTTATTCTAAGAATCTCCTTATTCATTTTTATTCATTTTATCATTCTAATATCAATTGGTTGTCAAAAGAGAGGATTTTAGTATTTAATATTATAGTTGGAATATAGTACAATCTGTTAGGTTAAAAATATAAACCTTCAAGAAATACTCTGATAATAAACAAAAAAATTAAATAATATGTTAATTATCTTAATTAGTTAATAATAAGTTAAATAATAAATAATAAGTAAAAGAAGAAACTGGAAAATTAATAAAATAGAAGATAAATTATTGAAATAATCGATACTTTTAATGTGTTTAATAAAATAGCAAGAACATATACTTAGTTCAAAAACCAAATAAAAAGAAATCTCTTAAATTCAAAAAATAGGAATGATGAAATGTTTTCGTTTTCATATTTTATAAGACTGATGAAATATTTTCTTTTTCATATTTAGTATTTAAAACACTAGTGAATTTTCGGTGTATGAATCTAAAGATAGAATTTTTTCAATAGCCACTCACTAAATATTTTAATGCAAGATATTAATATTATATTAATTATAAATTTTGTTACAATTAAATATTTTATTTCCATCAAGAAATTTGAAAATGAGCTTCGACTAAAATATGAAGAAATACAAATTATAAGAAAACATGAAACAATAAAATGTGTAATTTTCTTTGAATTATACAACAGTTCATCTTATCCAATTTTCCTCAAACTTTATTACAGATAAAATTATCAAAATGGTTATAATTGCAAATCTAACCCCATACTGTTTTAGAATATTAACATATATGGAATATAGATATAAATATTACAAATGTTATAATTAAATAAAAATATTGATTAAATGAATTCTTGAAATTGTGCAACTATATTTGCTCGAGCAATTGTATAGTAGTGGCGCTTAAAATGGTGAAACTTATATGTGTGTTTGAGGACAAATAATCAATAGCTTAGAAGATACTTAGCATGAAAGTAAAAGATTTTTAGAAAGTCGGTACTTACTATAGTGACCACATTTTTTAGTCAATATAGAATGACATAGTCGAACAAACCTATATTTCTTATGTACATAATTATATGTAATATTATATGTATATTATATGTATTATTATTATTATTATCATTATTATTATTATTATTGTTATTATTATTATTATTATTATTATTATTTTTGGTTTATTATTATTCTTTCTCAACTGCATACTACTAAATATATATTATATATAAAACATAATATAATATAGTAACATAACATATAATGTAGTATGTTATTATAACAGATGAAACTTAGGAGGAATAATTAATTATTCAATCTATGACGGAATATTTGTTGCATAATTAAATTTTTAGAACGTTTTTAATTAACAGAAATATTAATTAAATGAGTTGGATTTGAAATTATTGATATTATTAATATAAAATTAAGAATATAAAATATAAATAAATTAAAGATATGAAATATAAATGAATATCATTTCAAAGGAAGAACAATGTCTTTTAATTTTAACATATCATAAAATACTTAAAAATTATAAAAATTTCTTTAAAAAACAATTTACTTCAGAATAAATATGTAAGAAGAAATATGGGTTCGGGGAATCCTATGTTAACTTTCAACCCCTCCTACACTGAAATGGGCTATCTTATATGATATAAATTATCAATTGAGAAATTTTAATCATTTTAATCAAGATACAGGAATATTTGAATATTATATTTGAATATTTAAATAATAGGTTAATTTGCACAATAGATGTTTTAGTTAAATGAATTAATTCTGATATAACTGTAGAATAATTATAGAATAATATCACTATTATTGTTAGTTATACAATAGCTATTAAAATTATAAAATTTATTTATGAAAATCATCATATTTGGTTATTGATTATTGATTATTTAATTAATGTTCTATCCAACTAATATACTCTAGAACTCTATGTATTTGATGCCTATTTAATGCAACACAATTTTATAATACTTAATGTATACACAATAGCTATAAAATAATCATAGAATAATATCACTATTTCTATTAGCTATACAATAGTTATTAAAATTATGAAGTTTATTTATGAAAATCATCATATTTGGTTATTAATTATTGATTATTTAATTAATATTCTATCCAACTAATATACACTAAAACTCTAGGTATTTGATGCCTATTTAATGAAACACAATTTTGGTTTGAATAAATGATCATAGATGGAGGTATGGATCAATGAACTTCTATAATATGAATTCTAGTTACATGTATAAACTTTTTATTTTCAAATCGGTTTAGACAAATGAAATTTTTATATATCATCTTCATTATTTTACTATGAAATTATTATTTGAATATTCCTTTATTTATATAGCATCATTTTAATGAGTGACAAAGTAACCATACTAAAAATGAGATATAAGAATTCTTTATTTATTAGAAAATAAGAAAGAGAAATTTTTAATCAAATAATTTAACGTGATTGAATATATTTAAAAAATTTGTGTTATTTAAGGAATATAGATTTTATAAGTAGTTAAAAAATTATATTTACATTACATTTCTCATATTACAGGATATCATTACATTTATATTGCGTCTTAAATATAAAATAATCACAATTTATGATTATTTCCAGTTAATTTAAACATTGACAGTTATATAATATTTTCTAAAATAAAAAATAGAAAAATATTTAATGAATGGTATTCAAAATGCAGTTAATGCTTTAAGATAAAATGGCGGATACTACCGGATTAAAAAGCCTAAAATATAATTTAATAATTTAATTTTATGACAAATGCTTTACCTAAAGATGAGAATACGTTAGAAACACTCACATAATTTTATAATAAATTCTACGAAATGTAAATTTCATTCAGAATACAACTCAAATTACATATTATTTTTAAAGGAATACAAATTACAAAATACTAGCAACATTATATTTTTATAAATAAATGATCAATCAATTATTTCTAATTAAATTGTAAACAAATTACTTTCAAACAAATAAACACGTAAATATTATAAAAAGATTAAAGATATTGAAATAATTCGAACAAAAAGGATTTATAAAAAGAACTAACTTTTATTGTACAAGAATTTGTAAAAGAAATTGAAAGAACTCGACTTCAGAAAAAGATTGAGAGGGAAAATAAAATGCCAATACGACAAGGTAAGTTTCTTCGATTGTTCTGAAAGAAAAGCGAAAAAATAGCTATTTCATTGTTTCACTGATTCACGTGTGTTACACGTTCATTTTTCTTTGCGGATAAAAAAGAAAAGAGAACGCGTGACGAACGATAATCTGCGATCTAGTTTCGTAATAGTGCATTCGGCCTATTTTTACGAAGTACCAAAAAAGAGGTTTTGAAAGTCGCCTGTTGATGGACCAATGGAGGTCAGAAAGTAAGTAAAGTATGAAATATGAAACATTTAATTATTTGGGAAATTAAGTTTATGGTAAACTCATTTATTTAAGCATAAATATGTCACAAATGTATTTTTATTGGGAAGAAAATTTAAAATTTCGTCTGTTATTTAATATATAAAATAATTATTTAAGGTACGAGTATATCAATCGTAGGTAAATTATTAAATTATTATTTCTCATCTAAAATATATAATAATAATAGGTTTCTTATTACAGTTCTTATTAAATTATTAATTTATACCTCATCAATGGTAACAAAATATTAATCGTTACTAAATTAATTATAAACACTAAATTTCAATTTATAATAAAGTCTAATAATTGGTTACAATTATTAGTTACAATTCGTCCATTTTTAAATTCATGACGTCGACGTAATTATCTCGAATTAAATATAAAATGTTAGTAATCAACATTATATGGATTATCATATCTTTTTATTGAAATAATCTCAAAAATAAATGCTTAAAATTAATTATTTTATCTTGAATACAGGTTCTAAAAATGTAAAAAATATGATAAAATAATTAATTTTAAGAATTTACTTTCAAGATTATTTCAATAAAAAAAATTCATAATCCATATAATGTTGATTATATATATATTAAGAAAATTAATGGCAAATTAACGAATTAAATTTTCCAAAGCTTTTAATAATTAGAAAAATGAAAATTTCAAAAGTTAGTTATGGTTACAAATTACAACTATAAATATAATTATAATTATTTACTATTATTTTATATCTTATTATTTCATTCGTTTATGATTTATTATTTCACGCATGCGATTATTTACGAAGGAAACAGAAAATCAAGAAACGTAAATTAATTACGAAATTGTACAAGTACAAATGAAATGAAATAAAATCACGTGTGACGCTAATAAATCTACTTCTCCTTAAAATATACCACAATAAATAAACCATTTTTATCTATCACATTAAACATTGCATTTAATGACAAAATTTCAGAATAAGATCTACTTCTCCTTAAAATATATCACAATAAATAAATCACTTTTATCTAATATTTAATTTCAGATTAAAATCGATGGATCCATCTATAATAAAAATTCTCTATCCCTTCATCCAAACAGAAAGAAATCAACATAGAATCAAGAACACCACGTGTCATCCTCAACGGACAACAAAAACATAGATCGCTATGAAATTACGATGAAATTCACCCGAAATTCAATCAGCTCTGAAAAAATTCAAAAATCGACCAAGACTCACGTAATTGATCTCTCCATTAGAGCCCTCGACTTCGTTTCCAGGATCCATTCTTCTCCAACGACCTCTCTTCTCGCAACCCTTCCTCCAAGAAATATATATTACCATCCAAACTCAACTCGGCATTAAAATCGAACACGAAACCTCTGTTCGACTATCTTTTCGTAGAATCACGAATAAACGATAATGATCCGCGTGGGTGTACTACTCGGTACTCACCTGGTGACACGTGGTCTTTCATATATCATCGGCAAGCGCCAAGAAGGCGCATATCGGTTTTCAGGAGGGGAGAAATTACACGCTCTCTTTCTCTCTCTCTCTCTCGCGCTCACACCTGTGTCTTCTCCTTCTCGCTCTGCAAACACGACCCTGAATGTCGGAAAAACGGTCAGAGGTGGAAAAACTCGAGGACAGCGAAATTTCTCGTTTCGTGATTCAGTTCAACGATGTCGGCGACCTTTCAGATCATTTGCAACCGGCAGCAGAACGATCTTAATCGTTTTCTTAGAGCTCTGTTACACCTCCGATTTTTTCCTTCTTCCGAGTACGCTGAGATATTAATACTCTCTGATTGGTAATCGTAACGCGTGTAATTCGCAACAGACCTCAGCAATTACGATTTTCTTTCATGGTTCTTCTGGGAATCGGGTTGTATGCTCACTTGCTATGCGTACTTCGTGCTTTTTCCTACGATTTAGAACTATGTTTCTGTTCTCCTTGCCTTTTTTAACAAAATGCACGCTACAATTGGGTGATAATAATAATTCGGTATGTTGTAATCGTTAAGTACCAGGTGTAATTTCCTATTTTCATAGCTTTTGGTGTTAAACAACGGGTGTAATGACTGTTAACTTTTAGCTCTGAAAATAATAGTAGTAAAAGAGTTATGGTAGAATATAATAATAAAATATATTTTATTATTATACGTTAAAATATAATGTTGCATTTAATGGTAAAGTATATAAAAATAAATAAATTGCACGATAAAATAGTAAAATGTCGAATTTTTTAATTAAAAATTGGTTTGTAATATGTATCGCAGAATTTATGTCATGTAAGATCACAATTTTTTCTTTCAAATCATTATTTCTATAAAGTTAGTTATTAAAAAGTCGTAATAAAAATACGAAATTTCCTTTCAATCCAATTACCTCTTCTGTAAAATAGGTTTTCGTTGACATTGGTGTTACGAAAACAATTACATACCTAAGTATTAAGTGGTGTATCATTATCGTGAAACAGTTAAGGATTAGTATTGAGGAAGAGAACCTCATAAAATAAAAAAGAAAAATTGGAAATTATAAAGGAAATTGTGTACATTAATATGCATTATCTATTTATCAATTTTTAAATAATATTTTAATTATAGATATCAAATTAATAGGAAATATTATAGAATGTTAAAAATATTTATTTAAAAATGAGAAAATATATTTTGCCATAAACAGAGATAACGGCAAATAAATTGTTTTAAAGACAAGATATTGCTGGCATTATTTAAATTACTATGTTTATTGATTTTTAAATATACATCATAGTCAACTTAATAATTATATATATATATATATATTGTTATATAATTTGATGGTATTTATATTAGTTAAAAATTATTGAGTGGATAAAAAAATAAATTTTATTTTACTTTTTCCATTAATTACTAATTCCCCGAAGATAGTTCATTACAGAAATTACACTTGTTCGCTTGTCTAATTCAAAAATGGCCGCCTTTATCTCGTAATTGTTTTGATTCAGACTTCAGACAGTGATAGTTTCAAGTTGTTCTAGAAAGTTTTCGTTGAAAAATATAGAACTAGTATTTGTTGAATGTAAAGAATACGTTTTTACGTAAAAGTGTTCCATCTGTTGTTATTTTTATATCGATATATTTAAATACGTAATGTCGACAAAGTCCTCTGTTGATTTGCGAGCAGAACTCGCTGAATTAGTGAAACGAAAAGCAGAAATAGCTGTAAGTATCGAAACAACTGTCAAACTGCGTCTGTTTTAAACCTATTTCTATTTCCTTGCAACATATTTGTATAATACAAACATTATTACTGTCATTGCTACAAAAAGAACAACTTCATTTAGAAATATTCAGTTTCAGAAGTTTCTGGAAAGTAGTGATTCATCGCTCGTGTCTTGAACATTTTATGGTTATGTTTGTCTAACCTCTCGATTGTTCTTTATAACAATTAAAACTTTTACTTTTTGGTTTATTTAACTTTCTAAGCTGTTAACTATTCCTATATGAAATGTTCTTTATTTGTGAATTTTTAATTTAATATATTTAATTTCTAGAATATTTCAAGTTATTTTTATGTTACCTAAATTGTTTACTTTCATATCAATGACCATATAAGTAACTTCAAATATCATTACTCGTATGTATTATATTTCTAATTTTATATACATTTATTGAAGAAGGGATTGATTAAAGTAAGGAATAATAATTTTTCTTCTTTAAATTTTCTTTCTTCATTTTTCCTTCACAAATTTAAGATATTTATTTTTTCTGCTTATGTAATAAAATATACTATTGTGTTATATAATGAAGTTATATATTGTTTACAATTCTGTTATTATACAAATTAATGTTGTATAAAGCCATTCATGCTGTTATATTAATAAAAATAATATAAGAATAATGTAATGAAGCTTATAAATAATTATCAGTATTTTTAATTACTTTTCTAAATAAAATTTATAACAATATATTAATTTATTTGTTAATGCCATATTGTATATTAAGAAATAAATATTTGTCTAGTTAAATTATTAATTGAAGTTTTACAGTTTTGATTTTTAATATATCTTTCCTACATTGTAAAAATACAGAGAACATATTTTTTAAAGATGAAAGATTATTATTACTGGAATTAAAAATTATTGTAAACAGTTACGGTAAAAATAAAAAATAATCGCTATTATAAAATTGTAATTTTTATTGCAGTAATTGGTTAAATTACTTTTTTTAATAATAAAAATTAAAATTTGAATAAGAAGAACCATTTATATAATTTTTAATATTTGCAAAAGGGAACTAAAACTTAAATATAATCTAAATAAGTATAAATACTATTTTTTATGGCACTAAGATTACAAGTTTTTTAGTTAAGTATTGATATTCAGTGATACGAAGGAAATTAATTTTATTTCATGATTTTTATAAAATATTAAAATTTTACAGGATACTCTCGCCAATTTAGAACGTCAAATCTATGCATTTGAAGGTAGTTATTTGGAAGATACACAACTATATGGTAATATAATACGTGGTTGGGACAGATATTTAGCCAGTAATAAAAACACTAATAGCAAAGCAGATAAACGAAATAGGAAATTTAAAGAAGCTGAAAGGCTATTCTCAAAATCTTCAATCACCTCTATGGCTGTTAGTAATCAACAGAAATAAATTTATTTTTAAATCTGAATTTTTCACTCAAATTATTAGTTTGCAGAAATCAGTTCAATACTTTAGAATTTTAATAAAAGTATATAGTAACATACTGAAATGATTACAATTAATTTAATATAATATAAATATTTTTGTTTTTATATATTTTATCATATTACAAATTTTGAGTTAGAGAAAATAAAGAGAAAATAATGAAATTTAAAGGAAAGATAAAAATTTGGTTATTACATTTACTTCTAATGTGATAGAACTTAAATAAATTCAAAGTATTACATTCTTACAGGCTGTCAGCGGACTCGTCGAAAACACCCAGGAAAAAAGTAAGGACCTCAATGGATATTCCTGAGATAGTTAATTCTAAAAAAAAAAGAGTACAACTTATTTTTCATCCTACCGTCCCTTCCAGCTTTTCTTTTCATCCACTCCTTGACAATAATTCTTTTTAGTTTTTAAGTCCTTGATTGTATTTCTCTTTCTTTTTAATGTATTGATCAAACTGTCTTCCAAATGAAAAAAAAAAGCATAATAAATGTGGATTGCGAAGCAGAGTTGATTAGATTAGCGAAGAAAGAAAATTCGAAGGATATTTATTACTACTTCGAATTTTTGTGGAACGATTTTTGTTTTTTTTTTGTGTATTTAAGTTATGAATAAATTTTTATTTATTATTTCAATCTATTTCAATAATAATTCATTTTTAACTTTTTGAAAGTAACTTTTAGCGTAGCACTTTATATATTGATTTTTCTCTGTCTGTTTTCATCTATATTCATCTTTTTTCTGTATCTAATTATAAATAAATTCAATGTCTATTTCTCTTACCTGTTTCGAAGTTTTATGAAACGTTATTCCTCGATTTAACAATTCTATCTACTACATTGCTTTATTCTACATGTATGTTGGTAGTAAACTTGTAATTTGCTTTTCTTGTATATGTTGAAGGTGTAGAAAATATTAGCTTGGCATTGTTACTTTATTTTCTATATTTATCTTTTCTCTCTATCTAAGCTTTAAATAAATTCGTGTTTTCTGCATTAGTGTGGGTATAAGAGAAATATATCTTTTATACTCTCAATACAAAATAATTGTGCTTATAATAAGTGTTTGCAGTAATATTTATTAAATCAATCAGAATGTGATAAAGTAACAATCATTGATATTTAAAGTGTTTCGTGGATTTCTTTTAGCTTTGTAAAAAAGCATTTTGATGTAATACACTTTCATATTCTTTTCCTATTTGCTTTTAGGTAATCTTTCTTAAAATTGCAGAATGCTATGAAGTATAGAAATGTAGGTTTTGATCGATTAAACGATTTTTCATTTTAATTGTAACAACTTTATTGTTAGATTTATTTTTATTGATGTTTCACTGTTCATTTCTCTAAATTTAATGAATGTTGATTGTAATTAAATTATATATGGAAAATTATTATTGGTACTATATAACAGTTTATTTATCATGTTATAAAATTTACATAAACAACTTTAATATTTCAGAAGTAACATACCTTCAATAACTACTTAAGTTTCAAATATATTTTTTTCAAATGTACCAATACTCCTTCTTCCATGTGACTCATATGAGACTTCTTATTCGATATATGATACTTAATTAACGGTTCTTATGTCTAATAGTTTAATCGATCAAGTAAAGACACATTCGAGGTAACGACAAGCGGTTAAGTGACTTGACTGATTAATTGCCTAACGACTAATCGGTCAATCGATAGCATTGCATCTGGATAAATCGTACAACTGTCAATCGAATATTCGACTAACTTCGAACGGTCGATCGAGCACGTGCCGATCGGGGATCGCGGTTTTCCCATTCTGAACTTGATTCCAGTTGAGCGGTACAGTGAATCGGAGTCGCAGATCGGCAACAGCGGTAGCGAAGACAATTGCAGCCTTGTAAATTCTCACGGGACGACGGCCAATAACACCAACGGTAATAAGGAATCATCTGGGAAAAACCACTCTGTAACTGGCCAGTATAGTCAGAATGGATCTCTCGCTTCATCCACCGAGATTGCTGGACAATTTGCAAATGGACACGCAAGCAATGGCAGCCTTGAGCACGTGTCCTTGAAGGAGAATACTGGAAAAGATTCTTCAAAAAATAAATCTGGGAACAATGCGAAAAAGAATAGCAACAAGAGATCCAGAAATAGGTAGAATAGACCCAAAATGATGTGATTTTTAAATGGTCCATCTGAGGACTGTCAATGGGACATTTTTTTCTTTATTCAAATTGGATTCTGTCGATGTACCAGATCTCTGTTTTTTATAATAAATGCACCAAGAATCACTGAGTTTCTATGGAAGAGTAAATGCTATTATTAGCATTGTTAGCAATAAGAATATACAAGATAAAAGCTTGGGTAATAAAGGGTGTTGGTCATTTCGCCATCCAGATAGGATTCCTATTTCTGTTTCTATAAAAAACATAATTATAAGCCAATGAATATAGTATTGTATAAAGACAAATTTCAGGTCTAGGAATGAAAAAATATCAGTTGCGTCAGTTACTTGCACAGTATCATTGGTTTCAAGACAAGACAAAATAGAGTTAAAATTGTTAGCTTTTTATTTCTTGTAATCTGTTACCAATAGTTAAGATCAACTAGATTTAAATATTACTATGAGAGATACTAACAATTTATATTTTAACTTTCAATTTTAATAATATAATGGTTTATGTTTTTAAAAGCTTTATATTATAAATAGTTAGCATTCCATTATGCTTATCATATAAGATATATTATTTTATTTTAGTATTATATAAAAGAATCAGAATTGACATTGTAGTTATACTAAAGATAAAAATGATAATTGCACATAAAAATGAAATCACATAATGGAACTATTTGTTATAATTACATTATGTTAATTTAGAAGTTCCAATTGTTAGTTTCCTTCAATTTTATTTTTAATAATAAGTTTTGTAACATCAGTGTATCTATTTTTTGTAAAATATACCTATTCACACTTGTAAAATTATAATTTTAGGAAAAATATTGAAAAAGTGAAAAAATATTTTTTGTAACCACCGTATTTAAATAAAGCATTGTTAATAAAGAATTTGAAATTAATTGAATTATGGATATAGATTTTTATTTTCGATATTTTAGATGTTTTAATTCTTTTCGAACTAATAAAGTATTTTTTGTTTAAAGAACAAGCATTAGACAAACATAGGAATTTTCAAATTTTTAATTAAACTTTAACTTTGTAAAATTTTTTATATTTTAATATGTATTTATATGATAAATTTATTTAATTTTTAAAACTAAAAGTGATAGTCAAAGATTAATCATGCTCGTAAATTAGGTTTACAAAAATAATTGAACAAAACCAAATATTTGTGATAATTAAAAAATATTTGAAAGTATCTTTTTGTTCTTAAATCATTCAATTTTTATCAAAATTAAACGAAATATAAAAATTATATAAAAAATTACAACTAAATAAATAACCTATGAATAAAATTTCCAGATTATTTATGGAAGCGATGTTTTACATGTATTTACTAAAAATAGATACATTACATTACATTCTAACACACAATCATAAAGTTATGCTTAATTTCGTTCTATAAATTTTCATATTTTCATTAATTCAAACTAAAATTTAATTTACAGAAAGGAAAAGTCATTATAAAATAGCAATAATTGATTATACAGATGTGAAAGATATACATATTGCATATCTATATAAATTAAGAATGAAAGTAAATACTTACATTTATTAATTCAAGCTATTCTGTCTTAAAAATATAATTTTTTTACGTATCACATAATGGTTCTTTATCGTTTGTCGCATTGATAAGTTTGTATAAAGTGATTAAATATTATTGTACCATTTTTTACACTTCATCACACTTAAATAATAAAATATTATTCTTTTATTCTTTCGTTAATTTTGTTTCCCATATTTAATTTCTTGTGTTTCAAATTCTTTTAAACGTTAAATTATATTGCAAATATATGACAATAACAATAAGATAAAATTTTATCATAATATTTTATAAATTAACATGAAATGTAATTTCAACGAATTATGTTAATTCAAACAAATTATATTCTTTTATATTTCTTTATTTATTTCTTAATGAATTAATATTTTTTTAGAAGTTAAGTAATCTTAATAAAATATTCATAATAGAATGCACTATAATAAATTACTGTAGTGTAATGTAAGAATGTAAAATAAAAAAGAATATAATATATAGAATATTACTAATTATTTTGTAAGAAATAAATTCCTGCGTTTATAGACGATAATGAAAAGATATATAATATACGAGAAATATGTCATATTAGAGTATTAAAATAACGGTTAAATCGGTTTTAGTATTTTATTTATTTAAAAAACCATAAATAAAAGTCTAATAATTATAAGTATTACTATTTCAAATACTAAGATACATTTTTCGCTACGAGAACTTAAAATAATTTTATGGTGTTTAAATGGAATTATGTTCTGTTTACACGGTATTTAAAAAAATATTAAATATCAATTTTTACTCGTACTTAAGAAACATTATCGGTATGTAAAATATTTGTCATAAATAGTAACATCTTTTTTATATATTTACTCATAAAACTCACTAGCACAATTTAATTAACAAAATTAAGAATATTCTATATATCTCATATACTTCTTCTGTTAGTCAAAGTAATTGAAAATATGATCTTACGAATTTTTGTTTTCAAGGCAATTTTATTTTAAATCAAATACAAAATTTTTTCCGTAAAATATTTAGTTTACCTTTAACGATGATTAGGAATAACAGTTGCAGGCAAAAACGCTTTTAAATTACTGTCTTGTTTCGCGTTCTTCGGAGGCTCGTTCCTAGTTACGACTGCATTGAAGCCATTATGGTCATCAGCCGTGTAAGTGACTGTTCGAATCGACCCGTCTGCCTCTACCACAGAATATTCGCCCTTCACGGTGTCACCGTCTCTTTCTTCCCATGCTGACTTAGAATCGCCAGTGTATCCGTCTAAGACGCCATAGTTAAATGAATATCTTGGATAGGCCTACAGAAAAATTGCATATCAATTTATAAAGAAAAAGAAAAATCTATATAAATTTAAAAGAAGAAAAATGGTAAAATTAATTAAAGAGAAAGCAAGCGAGAATAATAGATAAACAGAATTCTATTATGAAAATATAATTAAATTAAGAATTTACTGATAGCTTTTGTCTAAAATAAAATAAAATGAATATATAAAAAAAGTTACAATTAATGTAATATGAAACAAGAATTTAATTCATATAAAGCTTATATAAATAAAAATATAATTGTTTATATAATTGATGAGTTTAATGTACAATAATTCATTTTTTGTATTTGTTCAAGAATAAAATACACTCAATTCTTTTTTTATGCAAACTTTCTTTTACACGATTTTGGTTTAACATGAACTATTTGTATATTTCTTATAGAAATTAATTAATTCTGATTGTTACTTAAAACGCCTACATTATTTGCAACAAATAGTACTTCTTCATAGTTTTCTCTACTCTTATTTATTATATATTAAACAATAAAAAAAATATTTCAAATATATACAATTATTTCTCTATTTTTATTTATTACATATTAAATAATAGAAATATTTCAAGTATATACAATTATTTCATAGCCCTCCTCATATTATTTATTTTATTTCTTTTTTCATTCCTTAAAATTATATTTTATTTTATATAATAGTAAATCCTTTCTATGTAGAAAAGAATGTTTTGTTTTTATAATCTAAAGTTTCGTTATTAATTAAGTAAATTTATTAAGAATGCTCATAAAACTTTTTAAAAGTTCTTCTATATAAGTTACCGTATATTCTGCTTCTTTGTCATTTTTTGTATCAGTTGCGAGAACAGCAGATGCCGTTTTAAAAATCGGAGGAGCAATATATACCAACGATGATGTCTTTGGCAATGGTCTGTACGAAATTGGAGTAGAAACTTTCACGTAAGTCGGAAGTGCTGGTTCCACTTTGCTTCCAATTGATTTAAGGGTACAAGCCACTGGCACTGCAGCGCCACTCGCGGAGATTGCATCGATTGGCGCGCAAGGAAATCTTCTAAATAAGAAACATTCGTTTTGATTATATAAAATGATCCAAAAAACTTGGACTATTATACTTGTTGAATCAGTGAAGTCTTTCCACATCTAAATTTATATAATGCTTGTATGTTTATGATTTCTTCAATTATTGAATAGCTCGAAAAAAACAAATTGTTTTTTTATTTACTGAATCAATAATCATGATAATAATAAAGTGAATAAAATTGTGAAAGACTATAATCTTACTGTTGAAGTACACCAGCAATGATCAGCCGTAAAAAACAGCACAAAATCACGATCTATAAGAAAAAGATTTATATTTATAGTGTTTGTATTATATATGTTAGATTTATAAAAATTTAGTACATAAAACTCCTTTAGATAGTAAAACGCTTACTCCAAAGCTATTTACTTTCATCATACAAAAAAATCTCAAAAAATAATGTTTTTCTTAGTCCATAAATACATATAACGGTCTATCGCGCGTATATATAATTATTAAAATCCCCATTACAGTAACAATTATTAACGATAAAATACTTCATCAATTAAAGAACATACTATATTTATAGTAAAAACGATATACAGTTTTTAAAGAAGTTTAAACAAATATCCAATACTTCGATTAATCTTCAAAATATAAATATGTGCGAAGTTGCAATGAAGACTCTCGAGAATCGAACGACCTATCGCGCATGCGTGCACTAGTTCTCATTGCACAATGTGCCTACTGCACTCTTAAGGAGTGCCGCTATGTAAACTCTGAAACCAAGATACAAACGTGTGCGTAGGTGCTTTATCCAGCGGTTCTCGAACATGATTCCTTAACAAAAAGTAACCTAAATCGCAAACCTTCAATACAATTAACACGCTCACTGTCCGATAAATTGGAAAAAGGATCTAGACGTTTCCCTGTTCGTAAAAAAAGATTATAATATGTCAAAGTAAGTCGAGTGAATGCAGAAATCGATATTTATATACGTTTCTTACTAATTGCGAACCGCTACATTAAGCAACCGCACTTTCAACTAACAACCGCGGAGACACGAAATAAAAAGTGATCGATACATTTAGAAGTTTATAAGATTGTTACTTTTTACTGTAGTAAAATAACTTAATATTAGCACTTATAAAGGTAAATTGTATAATTTGGCTATATTAAAATTATATTAATGTTTTATTTCTTATGGTATAAAAATGATGCCGTTTTCTTTCTTTTTTTTTAAATTTATAATATTTGTTGAAAACTTTTTATTTAATGATCGCCAAAAAGTATTGGTTCTTAATAATAACAGTTTTTTAATTCGATTTTTCAATTTCTTTCCTTTTTAAATTGAGCTAGATCGAATATTTATAAAAATTCTTTTAAAGTAAAAAATATCAAAGATCAAATGTATTCTTCTAATTCTTAAAACAAAGTATTCATAGTGTTTCATATTATTTTATAAAAATAAGTTATTTCCATTAATAATTATAATAATATTCTATACTGAAATATATTTTGTTTTAAAATATAATTTGAATATCTGTATGTAAGCAATTAATTTTAGAAAATTTTGCAAATGCAAAAATACGAAATAAGCGGAATAAGTTTGAGAAACATACTTTTAGTTCGTTCTAAAACTTTCAATCTAATTTTTAATGTTCAATCTAATGTTTTATTATCTTATATTAAAATTTAATTATAAATAAGGAAATTTTAAAAGATATAACTTAGTGAAGTTTTTGCAATTTTTGGTATAGTAATAATTAACTCATTAATTTGATTAATCCTAATTTTGAAATTTTTTTTGCTGTTTTTAAAAAATGATGTATTTGTTACTCTAATAATCTATATATCTCAATAATTCAATTTAAGTTATTAAGTTATTTTATGTACAGACTAATGCACCCATATGTTTCATTTCGCCAATATTTAAATTTAATTTTAATTTTTACATTTTATTATAAATAAAATTCAATCAGATATTTTTTTTACTTGTTTTTACATTTGTTTACAAATTTAAAATAATTCACGTATATTGCCAAAGCGTAAAATGTAAAAAACTTAGCAAAACAATTTTATTTAAAATAGATGTATTTGATAATCTATAATACTTTTTCTTTGTAATAAATTACTATTCTTTTGAATCGTTATTAACAATAATTTTCGTTTTACTAACCTTATCAGTGATACTTTTAGAAAACTGCGTCTGCATGTTTCAGGAACGATAAGAACTACAGTTGATCAAATTTGCACTAAAGAAACACTATTTCAAAGTTCTTCCTGACCTGCCATTTATTATTAAAGGTTGTTATCAATAAAGCATTGTTTTTCGAAGGAAAAATATTTTTTATAAGTTATATAAATTTTTATAATAGTAAACTATTACGATCAGATTTAATAATAGTTTTCACAAATACTTTTACATGTATACACATTTATAAAGAAAATTTAAACGAAATTTGAAGAAGATCTAACAAAACTTTCACGACGGTCTTTCAGAGAATAGAACATCAGCATCCAACTCATCTTTATATACGACTTATACAGGGTGGTCTTACGATGTTTAAAGCATTTTTTCAATATTTAATATATTTTTGATGCATTGTTGAGAAGATCATTGAGACGATTTGTTGGATGAGTAGAAAATAAATAGAAAAATTTAAAAATAAAAACAGATAATTATATTTTTAAAAAATACTAATATTTAACTGAATTATTTATACGCGTAATAAGAATTGTTTATATCTATAAATAGAAAATTATTAATATTTGTATATCTGTACGAATTTAATTATCGTCGGTAATAATTTGAATATTTTATTTTTAAGTGTGAAGACAATTTAATATTTTATTTATAATCATATGTCAAAATCTCAATTTTTTGGTATGTCAATTGCATTTTGGTAGCACTATAAAAGAAGCAGAATATTTATTGAAAATAAATTGTTTGAAGATAAGTTCATTAAATATAATTAAATATAATGTATTATGAGTGATTATGATTAAATATAATGTAACTATGAGACAATAGATTACGTATTCACATCTTTTTTTTCTTAAACTGTCTATAGATGTTTTCTTTAAATCAATCTCAATTGCCTTTCACTTATTCTTGTTTTATACAAGTAACAGTAAAATCTAAAGGTATTGCAGACAAAAAAAAAGGAAAAAAAGGAAAAATTTACATTATTGACTTCTTATATATAAAACGATGTTAAAAATAAGAAATTACATAACCAATTCAATATAATCCAGTTAACTTTGTTTTTTATTGAATCATACAATAGTTAAATTATTTTAGTTTTCTAGTATACATTAGATTATTTACTTACATTATTCCTATTTTTATATAAATAACGAGGAAATTCAAACAATGCTAAAACAGAATGGGAAAGATAAAATAAAAAGTTCTCATGATTTATACTTTACATATGATAAAAATCGAAGATTGTATATCGAGGATTATATGTATGAATTGGTATAATCTTCGAAATTAATTTTTATGCTTTATTAAATTATATGTATAATTGAATTATTTCAATCACCCGGTATACATGAGACGTTCACTTACATTTTTTGGGTCTCTCTTGATATACAACGAGGGATGCGCAACATGTAGCCGTGGGAACATCACCTGTTGAAACTAATGTGGTTTAACGTCCAATTCAATAGTAACAAAATATTCACAATCCTGTAATTGATTAAAATTTTTTTAATTTAAACGTTTCATGATTATTGCTTAATGAAAAGTTTTTAATAGAATATGCATATAAAGAAGTTAATTTCATCCAATTTCATATCAGTTTAACACATTCTTTAATTTATTTAAATTTTCAAATAATTATTAATATAATGATCCTTTGTTTTACTTTGTATGTTTCAAATATATTATAATTTGAATCATTTAGTAATTCATCATCCAAATTTTGCGCAGTAAAAATTTGTATTTCGTTTTGTATTAAACAAACATAATAAATAAATATATACTACTCAAGAGCAATATGTTTTACATAGATAAACCTAAATAAATGATTTTGCACTTATTCATTTAATATTATTTATAACAAAAAAGTTATTTCATTGTTTAAATATAATTTTCAACCGTAAGTGTCAAAATGTAAGGTTCAATTGTATACTATAACTCAATCTGTTTTAATAAATACATATCCTAGTATTGGAAATAAATTTCTAACAGTAATAAGAAAAATATCGAATAAAAGTCATTGTCAATATAACACATATATAACCTCTTCAATTCCATTTCTTATCTCGCATAACAATTCAGCAAAAGATTTAAAAATAATATTATATGTTTGACTATTATTCACCATCATGTGATCCAATCTTTTTTAATTTTGTCTTCAAAACTTCATTGATTGTAGAATTCCAAATTCGAATTATTAAATTGAAAATATCCTTCCAATAGCACAGGAAGTAAAATTATAAGAAATATATATCATAAAAATAACTAATATAATTAAAACTATACATCTAATTTTATGACTATAAAAATAATTACTATAGAAATGAATGGAAATATACTTTAATTAAACATAGGAAATATCAAATATTGTTATATATTGTGTCTTTTAATAAATATTTTTAAACTTTAGAGTTTGTAATTTTTAAATACATTTTTCTATTTGGTATAAATATTTGCTTTAAAAATATTGTATAGATATTAAATTTATGTTAACATTAACATATAATGTCAATTATGATTTGCTATTATAATTCATTAGAGGCAGGTTAGAAAGACAACTAAAAATTAAAGAAAATATTTATTTATACATTCTTTCTTGATAATTCTTCTACTTTCTTCAATGCATCTTTAATATCGTTTTCTGTTACACTTGGTGTTAAACCATACTCTTTTTCTTGTTTTAAAATAAGAGCCAGTTTTTCTGCCTTTTCTGCATAAAATAGTTCTTGCTCTTTTCTTAATTCATCTCTATATTCATTCAATTTCTGTTTTATAACATTGGAACAATATTCATTTGTCAGTTTTCTTAATGAATCTTTTCTTGACACTTTAACAGCATTTCTATAACAAAGTAAAAGATAAATTATGTGTATAATGGTAATGTATAAAAAAATCTAAAGAAATAAAATATATTATGAATAATTGCAAGGCTTTTCTAATTCTATTAATTTATAGACATTATTATTATCATCTTTTTCAGAAAGTCAATATAATTCTAGTGAAATATAAATTATTCTATATAATTTTGGCATAAAAATGGTATTATACTTTGGTTGTGGAAGATAAATAAGATTCAAACGTTCAAGTAGCCATTCAAATCGTCTATAATCCCATTTGCGCATTAACTTCAGATATTTATTTCTTTTATCAATTAATTCTTTTAGAAATACTTTGGTTTTCTTATTTCTTGGATTATCACTCATATATTTTTGAAGGAACTGTATTTCATTAGTCATTGCAGCAACTGAAACAATTTATTTAAGTGACATTTAAATTTTACATTTCAAGTAATTATTTTGCAATAATAAAAGTTTGTAATTTTTCTGCAAAAACTAGTCATGACAATGGTATTACAGATTTTAACAACATTTTTTTAGGTAGATATTTGAAGTGTATATCTAACTAATTGAAAAAAAAATATTTCAATATCTGATATATGAGGTTTCTATTAGAACTTTTAAAACAAAATTTTACCATTTTATGAGAGAATATTTAGACAAATAAAGAAGTAATCATGGTTGAATGATTTATAATAAAAAAAATAATTTAACTAATTAAAATATAATTACCTTTAACTTTACAGAAACTTTCAGATACTGATTTCATTATTTATTATTTTTCAATGTAAATCTAATGTTTTCATTGATGTTGCTATTCTCTATTTAGTGTGAATACACAATAGATAAATAAACTTTTATAAAATTAAATATAAATGGTATTTAAATAAAATTAATACCAGAATAAATTTTAGAAATTTATTTTATCTAATAGAAATATGCTTACTTTTAACTTCGGAAGAACCTCGATCACAAATGTGCCTTTTTACAAGATTTATTGTACCCTCTCTCTCTAAATTTCTTGCTTCTTTTTTTGTTTGAAACGCCACGGTAAACATGTTACGTACAATATCACTTGCACTGCATCAATAATTGTATATATTATTTGGAATCTTTACTAAAATTTACTTTATATAAAATATATTAAGAATATTGCTAAATTTTAATGTAATATAAAAATATGACAAAACAGCTGTAGATAATATAAAATAATTTCTAGAGAGCTTAAAAATACACTTACTATATATTAAATATTAGTTTCTTTTATAAACGTACATTACAAATTTTTTATTTGAATTATTTAATACAAGTATAATTAAAAACTACATTTTTTATAAAAATATCGGTGCAAGGATAATAAAAGATTTTGTCTTACACTTTTTATTCATTTTTATAGAAGAAACATTTTATATGACACAATAATAAGTGTATGGCTATTACTTACTCCTCCAATTCCTTTGAATTTTGATAATAAAGTTTAATATCAGTTGGTTTTACAGGTATATCTATTCCTAAATCACCGGTTTGTCGTGGATCTAGAGATGAAATTTCTTTTGGTCGTATCCATTTAATTTTAAAATCTGTAACAGATGCTCTACGACGGCTTAAATAACCTCCAAATTTATATATATTATTTACTTTTGTACTTATTAATTTAGAACAATTCATTATGAAACTCATTTTTATGTATTAATAACTTAAGTATTAAAATTAGTTAAATTGAATTCAAAATAGAATAACATTAATTAGTACACAATTTAAAGTTACTCGTACACTATATTACTGTAAATACGCAGATTTTGTGCACACATATGATCGTAAGCTAAAAGTAAATTTTCATAAAAGTTTTGTAATATTTTTAATAGTTTTATTACGAGATTATAATAAAATGGAATATGAAATATATAAGGGTTTTAATAAAAAAGATGAATAAAATTATTTTTTAATGTATCTTTGCCATATAATATCCATATTTACTTTTAGGAACGAAGTAATAGCATATTAATTACATTCAAAATATTTTACCGCATGATTAATATTTTAAAGTATGCTTAATTATTTATTTTAAATAATTTACAAAACTGCATTATCAACATGTAGATCGATATTGATTTAAATTATGTTGAAAGAATTTATATTAATGCAAGATATATAAAAACACTTTTGATGATGAATAAATAGTAGAAATGTAGTTAAGTAATTCTACAATTCATCGAATTATGTTAATATCTTTTTTATTTTATTTTATTTTTTAGTTATTTTCAGATTATTGTTCTTTTAACTGCTTTATGACGGTTTTATGTACTTCTTTTACATGAATTTGAATTCCCTTTCTTAGAGAAGATAGCAGAAAATTGCATGTTTTTGAAATATATATTCACGTATAAGAAATTGAACATTGGCGCGCGAACTGTTATCATAATTTCACTATCAGTTCATTGGTTTGTTATGTTATATTGCCAATTATTTGGTGAGTTAATAGTATAAATTTCATACACATATATTTTGTAAAAATTACGTATATGTTTAATACAGTAGGAACATATAGGTCAAAAATTATTAGAAAATAGTGCAGAATGATGATAAAAAGTTAGTCATAATTTGTTTCTAAAATTGAAACATTTGTGATCTATAATACTTCTACAGAAAAACCAACCACACTATTTCTATCATTACGATTTTAGAGATTTTATTGAGATAATAATTACATTTCATATATTAATCATAAATGAATTTCTTTTGTTTATTTTACTTCTGTATTTATTTAACAAAAAATCACATTTGAAAAAATTTGTATTTCAAAATTAACTATATATATGTCATTAAATGAAATGAATTTTACAATTGTAGTTTTCAGGTAATTTATCGCCGTAGTTAAGCTAAATTTACTATTTTTAATATTAAGACTATTTTTAACACTATATCTATTTTAATAAATATTTAATTAAACAGATATAATAGAGACTATAAAGATATAGAGATATAATTAAATATTGTATGTTTATATAATTGTCATATGATATCAGTCACAAATCATAAAATGAAAGAATTCTCTACATTTCTGGTTGTTTTCATGTATCAATTCTGCCTACAATTTCGAACCACTGTCGTAATGCATCGCTTAGCACAACAGGTAAAGTATTCAAATCTCGAAGAATAATATAAAATGGAAATGGAAAGTTATCCATATAAGAACGTATACCTAATAATTTACCATCCTCAAAAATTGGCATTCTTATGTCGAGTATGGAATCCTGAAAAACACAATGCAAATAATAAAGAAAATAAACTTAACACTGTTACAAAATATCATATAACTATAAAAAATATGAGACGTCATTTCTTTAACTTGATCTATAAATTTATATTGTGAGCCTTTTTAAGATTTTAAATTACAAAAAAGAAAAAAGAAGAAAAATCAAATACATAGCCATTCAAAAGTATATATTCATGTACAGATAAAATTATATTTTGAATATTCAATAGAATATATAATTTTTTTATTTTTAAATTTAAATTTCAGGATAAAAATTATTTTCGTTAATTCAAGTGTACTATTTTTGTATTATTTTGTTTAATTTTAACAATACATTACCTTATTAAGAGGATTATCAATTATTATAAAAACGAGGAAAATATTCAGTAATTTAGCCCTCCTCACAGCTGCTGTAACTTTTTCTGTTCCTTCGGAAAATATTCCTCTACCATCTGACAAAATGGTTACTAGTTTTGCATTGTCGGAAGAACTGCATTGCGATGTGAACATTTCTACTGTGAAATCAAGCAGTTGACCAATCATTGTTCTTTTCTGTTCAAATTTAATTTCTTGAATTAATCTGAAAAGTTCAAATATTTTACAAATGTTTTTTAAAATTAATTCTTTTAAATTATAATTTTAAAATACTATCCTATAAAACAAGTAAATAAATTAAATATACGTAAATTGTTAAAAATTAGATAGTTTTAATTTAAATTTAAAACTTTTTGTATCTCAATTAGTCAAAATACTTAAATATTAGTGGACTGCTAATTATCATAGAGTAACGATTGATTCATTTTATTTTTGTCGTGATAATTGTATTTACCTGGCACCACTTTCTTCTGTAAAGTTTTCCCCGAAAGAATGAAGGATATTTACATGTTCCCCAAAATTAATAACAGCAAGTTGACCAACCTCTAAATAGGTCATAGCTTTGCCAATTAATGAAAGGGACTCAAATGCCAATTCTTTTGAATGATTATCAGCCATACTACTAGAGTCATCAATAGCTAATACAATTTGATAATCTCTTTTTGATGGTTTTGTACGCCTCAACCAAATTTTATCTTTTCGAAATTCACTGGCAATATAAGGAATTACTTTTCTCATGTTTATTCGTTTACCAGTTCTGTAATCTCCCTTCAATCGGGAACTTAATGTCGGTTCTAATACTAATCGCAATTTTTCTGATAGTTCCCTAGCAGCTGATTCTGTTAATGCACTTATGGAACTCCAAGCATTTGTTGCTTCTACCGAGGATGGTCCTTGAGACCATTGACTTAACATATCTTCAATTTCAGATCTCTTTTGTGCAATGTCATCAACAAAAATCTCGTGAGATTCTGTTTCTGTTAATTTTGTGTGAATGGTCGATTCATTTCCTCGTAAAACACGAGTTGTCCCCACTGTTTTGCCTTCAACTTCACCTCCTACCTCAATTTGTTCTACATCATCTGATTTTTCACCTCTGACATTAGTGGGTTTTTCCCTTTTATTTTCGAGGACTTTCTGTGGTTGTTCTTTTCTTGTTTCTTTCTCTTGATCGCTCAGTGATGACTCTTCGTGCATCTTAATATCATCATCATCTTCCAGTTCATCATCCATTTGGTCCTTTTTATCTAATATAATCAATTTGTGTTATTTTTTATTCATAAGAGTATAAAGATATTTATTTATATACATATTGTATAATTAATAGAGATTAAATATAAAATTTATTTTCTAAGTAAATAATAAAACTTTTTGAAAACAAACAAAAAGTTTACCTTCTTCTAAATTCGATGCCTGTTTTTTAATTTGCTCCTCAGTTGCAGCATCAAAAACATAGTCATCAAATTTCTCTTTATTTTTAATATGTTCGTAAGTTTCACTTTTATCACCATTTTCAGGTTTCTTTTTTTCTTCTGGACTATCTAAGTCTTGTTGCATTACATCAGTTTTTAATTTTTTCATAGAAGGTTCATTACTGTCATCAAATAAACTACGATTTTCATCACTTTGACCTGGTTTTCTTTGTTTTCGAGTAGGTGTCGAAGATTTTTCCTCACCAGAAATAGGTGAAATTTTTTCCTGTTTAGAACCAGAATGTCCTTCACTTTGTTCCGTTTGTGATTGACCAGTTCCTTAAAAATGTCGAAATATTAGTTAGGAGTAATTTATGCATACAATTTTTATCTATGATAGTAAAGTGTTTACAACTATTATTCAAATTAAAAATGTATAATTACAACATGCAGTAAGATTACCTTTATCGTTTTTATTATCTATACTACTTTCTGTAGGGTTTATTTCCATTTGTTCCTCATTTGACTGATTTTCTACTGCATCCCTAGAGCCATCTTTTTTGGATTCTACTTCTTGTGAAGCATCAACTTCTTTGCTATTTGTATCAAAACTAGCTGCTGCTTTATCTTCCTTTGTTTCATTTTTGTCTTCAATATCCTGTTCCTTTATATCATCTTTTTCATCCTCTTCAGAATTTATAACTTTTTCATCCTTTCTTTTGTTATTGTCCACATTTAGATCTTCTTCTTCATTGTCATCTTCTTCATCAGAATCTTCCTGTTTATTTCCTTCAGAATTTTCTTTTTCTTCATCTTTTTCATCTTCTTTTTCTGGAATTTTAGATTCTTTCATCTGATCAATATCAAAGGGATTTTCTTCTTTATCTTCAGGATTGTCTTCTTTTATTTCTTCATCTATATTCATATCTTCTGGAAGTTCAAAAGATTCTGGTTCTATTTCTGGTTGATTCTTTCCATGATAAGGATCTATCTGATCCTCATTTACTTCAGGTTCTTGAAATTCTTTGATATCTTTTTTTTCTTCTTTCCTTTCATCATTGTATTCTCTTTCTTCATTGTCATCTTTATTTTTGTTTTCATCTGTATCTTTTGCACTTAATTCTTCTTGACCAGTTTTTTCACCTGTTCCACTTTCTTCTTTTTCATTTTCTTTAGTTTCATTTTCATTTTCATTCTCTTTTTCATCTTCATCCTTCCAAATTTCTTCATCAAGTTTGTCTGCAGTTTCATCAGTTTCACCCATTTCCTTGTCGATATCATCATTTTCCTCATTATTTTTTTCTTCTTCACGTTCAAGTTCTTGCGCATGACCTTCAAAATTTTCTGACATCTCTATACCCTTTTCTTCTTCCTTCATATCTTTCTTTTCATTGTCCTTTTCTTCTTCATTTGGACCTTTAACTTCTTCTAACTGATCTTCAGTTTCAATTTTCTCTGAAATGTCTTTATGTCCCTCACCTTCAGCCAATCCCATTCCTCCTTCAGCTGTATCACCTTCTTGATTATCTTCAGGAGCATTCAAATCTTTTGGTTGACAAAAACCATTTGTTGCTAAATCCAAAAAGACGTTCAGTTGAAGGTAGAGGAATTTGCAGGTCAGACGAAAAGATGCCACTTGTTCATATAAATAGAAATGAAGAAATAATGTATACTGTTCGATAAGAGGTAGATGCTGCAAAAGTGATCTAAAATAATAATAAAAATAATTGAATTATTTATAAATCATTTTGTTAACGTTGATGTAATAATGAAAAAAACGAAAATATATTATTATATGTAATATTAGTTGAAATATAAAATAAAATAAATTTAGTTTTCAAATCAATGATGACAAAAATAAAACAAGGACAATATTTTCAAATTATTTTATTATTTATTTAAAAATAAATCTGATAATTGTGAATTTTTTACACTTATGACAATAAAACCTACCTTATGCAGTTATTTGCAGACTTAACATCACATTCATATATAATTTGCAATAAGTCTCCAAATATATGTGATACAGTCTTTAAACGTAAATCTGGAATATCTTTCTCTAAAGATTTTATTAATTTTTCTGTCATCAAATTCTTTTCAAAATTTTCAGTAGATTCTTCTTCAGGTTTAGTTCGATCTTCAATCGATTTTTCACTATCTTTGAATTTTTTCTGAATAACAAGAAGAATTTGTGTAACTAATACATCCAATTTGGCTTGATATTCTTTCAAATTTTCGGATTCAACAGACTGTTCCGCTGTTGAAATAAATGTTGATGTAAATAATTCATTATTTTCATCAATTTTTTCTATTAAGAAATATAAATTTTCCGTAATGGGATGATCTAACATGAAAGTACATCTTAGGTCAATCAATAGTTTTCTAACTTCATTGATTTTTTGATAATTTGACTGAAGAATATCAATATGTCTTTGATGAAATAAGAAAGTTTGACCTAACTTTTCAATTCTTTTTGAAATTATCGTCCATGAATTCAGCTCGTTTGCCATATCTGTTATTAAGTGTAAAGAGTTTTTCATTGAGACAATTGAATTTTGTAAAACATTCCTTTCTTTTAAAACAGGAATTGTAATTTCATTTAAATCAAGGGTTTCTTCTGTAAGGGATTCCATTGGACAACTCTCCAAAAAAATTATAATTTGTTTCATAGATATCTGTAACACTTCTAATAATTCCTGAAAACTATTTATGACAACTTGTAAGTTCTTTTGCATGGGAACATAATTTTTGTCAGAATCTTTAGTTACATTTTCATTTATTATTTTTAAAACTTCCATTAGTTGAGAAATATCTAAGATTCCACCAGTTTTTGCAATTTCTAAGATAGAAATAATTTCAGAAACGTCTAAAATATCTATTGATTTTGTAAATTCAAGAATTTTTTCTAATTCAACCAATCTTTCAGATGATTTTTTTATCATTTCCAGAAATACAGAAATTTCTGAAATTCCGATGTTCTTTATAAATTCCAATACTTGTAAAACTTTGGAAGTATTAGACATTTTGAGCAGCTTGATAGATTCTACAATTTCTGAAATATTTTTTTGTATAACACTACTATTTGAAATCTTTTTATTAATTTCTTCCATCATTAATATAAGATTTGATACTTGAATCTTTAATGGAAGAAACTTTTCAAAGAAGTTTGCAATCGTTTCTTTTTGCCGATGCGCCAGCAATACAAGATGAACTGAAAAACCACGACAACGTTCAGCATTATGTATATCGAGGTCACTTTTACCTGAATTTAAAATGCTATCAAGGAAATTTAGTTTAATCAAAGATTCATAGTAATATTTATTACAACCAGACCACTGTTCAATTAGTCCTTTGTCCATATTTTCATTTTTACTCTTTATAAATGTGAGTCTTTGTATTTCTCGAAGATCTAAAGGCACAGTCATGAAGTTTGTGATTTCATTTTTTCGATTTTTCCAAGTTAAAATACCTATTCTATAAGAAATTCCAAGATGATTTAATGTTTTAAAATAATTTGCCAATGCCATCTTTTTTTGCTGAAGCATGCTCTTTAGTTGCGATTGTTGTTTAGCTTTTGTCAAAGTTTTATCGACTTCCAAATTTCTTAGTTTCTTACTTTCTTCAAGACTTTCGTCTATAAAAATTTCAATATCCTTTCGAATTTGGGGATAATCATTTTTTGCAATAATATTTTCACAAAACTGACGAGCTTTGTGTGTTAGTTTCTCAACCTTCTGCAGGTTTCTTGACTCTAAATTGACTAAGAAATCAACAGGTTCAAGTTCTTTTCTAGAATTAGTTTCTAATATCTCTGCTTTCGTTTTTAAAGTCAAAGTGGATGCAACATTTTCTTGTAAACATTTTTGGAACTCTTTCACAAATTTGTGTAATGTTCTTCGTGTCTTTTCAGCAGTGTTTTTTACAGACCAATAACTTATGTCATTCCACCTTGTAATTTTAATGGTATCTTTTAATTTCTTAGCAATAGGCTCTTTCAATACCTTTATCTTATTTTGAACATCATTAAGAAACTGACTATAATAGAAATAAATGTTCCAGAATATAGCTAATAATTCTTTCTGTTTTCTTGTTTCTTCGAAATGACTAATATGTTGATGAAAAAGATACATTAATTGGAGTCTTGTTTCAAATTCGATTAAAGATGATTCTGTTAAGAAACGTTCCAAGCTTTCAATTATCTTTTCTTTTGAAATGTTATCAGATTTACTTGAATCTTTTAACTTTTCAGTTTCATTTGACTGTTCAACATTCTCAGTGTTCTCTATAATGTATTGATCTATCAAATTAAATAAGAAGAACCACCACTTTGACGCTTCTGTTTTCAAATCATCTTCAAGTACTTCCAACGAATCCTTCCACCTTGAAATCTCAAGTTTTCTCCAACAAAGAATCTTTGCACCAAAAGATTCAATAAATTCTGCCAAACTGACATCAGAGCGAGCATTTTCTTCCCATTGTTTAATTTTCGTTAGTAATAATTCCACTCCAACTAAAAATCTAGATAATGAAGAATCAATGGAAAAACTGAAAAGTCTATCGATTATCAGTTTTATTGAATTTAAAATCGGATTATCAGGCCATTCCTTTAAAAATTCATTGATTCTTTCACAAAGTCTATCAAAAAGTGGTTGACATTCTTCAATTTCTGGTATATTTGGATCTCTATAGAAATCATATACCTTATAATTATTTTTTCTATCATCAAAACTGGATTTTTGTGAAATTATCACGTTTAAGCAGCATACTAGTTGAGAAGACAAATTTTCTGACCAAGTTTTTATTGAAGATCCTATCATTTCAAATCTCTGGATTAAAGGCTCAATGAAATTGGGCTTCAAATTAAATTCATCAGTTTCTAAATTGTTTCTACCCATTCCTAAGGTATCAATAAAAAATATTTTTGAATTTATTTCATCAGAACAAACATTTTTTAAGATATTCCAGTGTATTTCTTGAATTTTTCTGGCATCTTTCTTAGTTATAACTTCAGTGAAGGATTCTTTTTCACTGAAGACGTTTTCTGGAATTCTTTCTAGTTCTGAGAGATTCCCTGGGAATACTTCTGCTAGTTCTAGGAAGTCTTGTTGATAACCTGGGAACATGTTTCTGAAATCTAATTCTTCTTCTTCTTTTGTTTGAAATTTTGTTTTGAACAAGCTTTGTTTTTCTCTCATTTCTTCTTCTCTTTTTTTTTCTTGTTCCTTCCATAAGATCCTAATCTTGAGAAATATTTTATTTAGTTCTTCCCATAGTGATTTTATATCATTTCTAACAACCAGAGACAAATTTTCAAGTTCCTTCAATGCAATTTTAATCATTGTAAATCTGTTTGTTTGGACAGATTTTGATTTTGATTGTTTCATTAAAATGGAAACTAGTTTCTCTGAAGAACATAGTTTCACCAAATTTATGTAATTTTCCTGACACAAGCCAGTTACAGGGAATCGCAACAAATTATAACAGATATCACCATTAGAGTTCTCAAACTGCATGTTTGAAAGTTCATGAATTAAAATTGATAATCCATGATGTAAATTAGAAATTGCTGAAATCATTGGTGAAACCAAGTCTGGGAAACCAATTAGGAAGTTATTTTCTAATTTTCCAGAGAATCTTTCTAATGACTTCTTCCAAATTACAGCTTCATGCAATCTTTCTTTATGCGATTCTTGCCATTCTTTCTTATGAAGTTGTTGAGCTACTTCATTTAATTGCTTGACTTGTTTAAATATTGACTCAAATGAACCTATATTACTTGAAAAATTCTCTACTTCTTCTCTCAAATTTTGGAAATTCAATGAGGGTCTAACTGCTTGGAAATTTTCAAAACTTTTTGCTTCATTTGATGATATTTTCAAATGATTAATTCTTGATATTTCTCGTTCTTTTGATAAAGAGGTTCCAAGGATATTAGATTGCAAATTTTCAATGCGCATTAAGTGTTCCAATTCAGAGATATTTTCGCGTATATATTTTGATTTTAATGCAATTTTCTGAACTGGATCAATGGATCCTAAATCATAAAAAAGAAATATTTGAAGATACCCTAAGATCAGCCAGCCATTTCCTCTTTCAATTGCATTGTTTTCATTTTCTAACTTTTCATTTATTTCCTGCAATGATTCTATCGGTTGAAGAAAACGATGTTTTAGATCATTTTGTTCATCGTTTAATTTTAAGGTAAAAGTATTTATGACTTTGTTCATAGCAGATAAGTAATAATTTATGTAAAATTGTAGTAGAATAGAATCGTTAGTGGATATCTTGAATTCGTCTGAATTTAAGACCAAAGAATTTTTCCATAATAGTGTTTGAATTGTTTGTAAAAGTTTCTTCTGCTTTTTGTAGTTTCCAAAATTGATTATTTCTCTTTTGTTTCCAGATTTTGTTAGAAACAGTTCAAAGATCAGATTGCAAAAAGTTGATTTATTGATGAAATTTGTCTGAAAATAATATAATGATATGAAAAAATTGAAATAGATTAATTATTTATAATAAAGTGATATTGCCAATTAGATTTAAAGTAGACATCACAAAAAATTATTATTAAAAATAAGAAAACAAAATTAAATATGATTCAATATTAAGACCATTAATTCATTTTCCATCAATTTCTATTCATTTTATATTAAAAATATATTTTTAAAACCAATATTGTAGATATTTAAAAAAATGTAATAAAAAATAACAATAAAATATTCTACTAATATCTTCGACTTTATTTTTTAGAGTATGATGTAAAACAATAAATAATGACCAATAAATAAAAAAATAAATTTAATTCAACTTATATTAAAAGTTTAAAAAGGTAAATGAACAATTTATAGAATTTTCGAGTAAAGGATTTCAGTGTTCAGATTGCAAGTAATTAAAATTACTATAATGTGAAAAATACCTCAAAAATAGTAGTGTCTTCTGTTTCATCTTCCTTGCTATTATACCAATGCAGGAGAACATTCGAATTTTTTACAGCGAAAGTTCGTTCTCCAAAGTCTTCGATTAAAGAGAGCAACTCAGGGAATAAAGAGATCCTTTGTTTGGGTAAAGTCTCATTGGCATTCAGGACCTTCATCAAGCTAATTAAACGTGCTGGTATTGTTGGCACCTCTTCGAATTTTTTAAACACGCTTTCCTTGCAAATTTGCCCAAATGTATCATCCATTTTTCCTCGAAAATTTCCTTCCGCATCTTCCCAATCCATGAAATCATCCGGAATTCCAGTAGAAAAATGCTTATTGAATTTTCGACAAATTTCTTGTTTAAAATTATTCGAAAATTCTTCGCAAAATTTCCTTTGGAAACGGTATGCGAAAAGGAAAAAGAAAAATTCATAAATTGGCCATATTTCAATTTCTTTATAATTTTCACTCGCTCTGTCATTATTCTCGTTAACTTCTTTCAGCTCTAAAATGTTTTTGGAAATTTCCTCGATCTCCATTACGTCTTCGCTTTTATCTGTATTTTCTTGACCGTGCTTGAAATTTTTAATATAAATATCGATCAATTTCTCTCTAACGGCCAAATTTTCCGGAAGTGCAATGGAAACGATTTTTAATTTCGTTTTTGATAAATCGATTAAATCTTTTTCGGTAATCTCGAGTTTTCTTGATACTAATCTCAATTTTTCATGGAAGGTCATGGCGTTTTTGGTGAAATGGGGTGATGGAATAATCGATAGAAGTTTCTTCACCCTCTTTCGAATTTTTCGAAATTTATCTGCGTCGATCAATAGGTTCAGATATTTGTTAGAAAAGTCTAATAATTCTTGCTGTACTTTTAAATCGCATAATTTTGCGTCGAATAGTGAGAATAATTTTTTGAAAAATTTTGTCAGCCATTTGTAGTGGACTTTTAAGGAGGAAGTAATTTCACGTAGGTCAAAGAATGTGCCTTGTGATTTGTCGACTAATTCTATCGTTCCCAAATTATGGTACCTTCGGAACCATTTTAGGCCATCTCGTAGTTCGACGTACTCTTTATCGTTTATCGATAAATTTCTATTGTATAGTACTATGTCGATGATCTTTGCTGATTGTTCGACCATTTCTACGAACTTGAGTATCAGTGGCTGGTTTTTCAAATTGGTTGATAGTTTCCCTGGAAAAGAAAGAAAATATTTAAAATTATACATTTAACAATGATTTATATATAAAATATAAAATTATAAAAAGATATTAAAATTGAATTTTGTTTCATTAAATAGTAAATAATTAATATAATATATCTTTTTCGAGGAAATGTATACAATAATATGTTTTGTAGTTATGTTGTGAAAAATGTAACAAATTTTCTTCTTTTTGTGATTAAGCATGTGAGTAATTTTATTAAAAAAAGTTATACAATTTTAATTACCGTATACTGATATTAAAATGAACTAAACACTAAACAGAGTGGAAAATTTGTTATCCTTGGGTTCTCTAAATATTAGTGAAAAATTAAACAATACTATCAACAGTGAATGTATAGCTGAAATTATCAGAGAAGAAGTACTGTTGCACAGATTTAACACGTTAACACGTTAAGTGCCTAGCCCGTTTTGCTTGCCGTTCCGTTCAGGCCCAGACTCGGCCGTCAAGTGGGCCACCGGCGATGGGTGAAGTGTTCATAAAACTCGGAGATACTGTACCAATTGTTATAACAGGAATTCCCAAACGTTAGATCCAAAGATGGCGAAGAATTTAACACCAAAAGGTAGCACCTTTTGGTCCTAGTCTAGGCCGAGGTTTAGTCCGGCCGGGACCAAACGGAAAGTCTAGCGCCAGTCCCTGGGAACCGGCGTGGCACTTAACGCGTTAACTAAGGACGTTCGGTTTTAAGGCCTCAACAATCACGTTATCTTTTTTCTTCCATAATTATAATTATTTGTGCTTTCGAATTCTGTCTGGACCGATCCCTGAGGACCGGCCGGGCCCAAACGGAAAGTCTAGTGCCGGTCCCTGGGGACTGGCGTGGCATTTAACGTGTTATCCCTTTGCACTCGAGAGACGCCTCTCAGTCGCCATTGAATCAGATTCTAAAGATGGATGTTAATTAATATATCAAATTTACAATTACCCAACGATGCGTGGAATATCAAAGTAAAATTCTACGTCTTAAATTGCATACGATTCCTTATTTACCGTTTTAAAAATATCGTCGACCTTATGGCAGAAAGTCTTCGAATTACTATTTTTCTGTAAGGAAAAAATCATCGAGCGCAAAGGGTTAAACGCCATGCCGGTCCCTAGAGACCGGCACTAGACTTTCCGTTCAGGCCTCGTTGGTCCGTACGGCCCGGAATGGTCCACATGACGGCTAACTGTGGCGTGAATGGAACGGCACGTAAAACCGATGTGGCGTTTAACGTGTTAAAATTATCCAAGAATTTTCATTGTTTTATAAACACATGGGCAATTCTTTGGTATATAAACTCTTTTGAAACTAAGACACTGTAAAGCAATATTTTAAAGATTTTGGAATTTTAGAATTGATGATTTTTATAAATTCAGAATTATAAAATTAATTAACTATACAGAAAAAGTACATTTATTTCGATTGGATATGTATATGACTAGATTCAAAGAGATACACATGGTTAAATAAATTTATAAATTTAATACATGAGATAAATATAAATAGGATGAAAAAGTAACTATACTATTTAAGAATATTTATTAATATTTGTCATTTCAATAAATGTTTTATAAAACTCACCTGAGCGAATAACAGATGAATATTCTTCTAAACTTATAATATCCTTGTTTTTTAGGAAATTTTTCTCTGACTGACAGTCAAGAGTTATGGATCGAAAATATAATATAATAGTCAAGTTATTGGACAGCGTAGGAGGTTGGACGAGATTTAATGGAATTTCTGAAGCAGACTTGTCTCTGAATAAAAATTCCAAATTTTCGACTTCGTTACCAAAACACTCGTTTATCTTCGCTAATTCGTTGAATTTACTTTTTGAAAAAATGTTTGAACTCCATAGTCGTCGGATTTCTAGGTCGTATAGGGAAGATCGTTCATAAAAATCGAGCAAAAGGTGTTTCAAGAATGCCATTGTGTCCGTGATGGGAGGTTGCTCGAAAAGATCTTGGAAATCAATTTTCTGCGGATTGCTTCTGAAAATAAGAAAAGAAATTTTATGTAGGGTGTTACAAAAGTAGGATTTAAAATTTGATGTTCTCATTCAGCAACATTCACCAAAAGGAGTGAAAAACGTCTGATCAATATTGGTTCTATACACTCTATACAGACTTATATAAATAGGAATTTATGAAAATTAAAATAAAGTTGTTATAAATATAGAAACCATGTATGCAAAAGTCACAGTATCATGAAGTGAATATAATACATTCTTATTTCTGTTTGATATCAGGAAAATCATATTCAAATAAATATTTTAAAGTACTATCTTATTTTGTATATAAAAGACAAGAGAAAAAGATAATGAATGTTCATGTTTGCTAATTTGCAAATACTTATTTTAAATATAAAAGGCATTTTATATATAAAAGACAAGAGGAAAAGATAATGAATGTCCATTTTTGGTAATTGGCAGTATAAAATTTGGTATAAATTAGTGATTTATAGGTGATAATTAAAATTACAGGGCTATTAAATAAGAAACATTATGAAGTAAATGTGTCCATATAAAATAATGTAAAATATTTAATTTACTGGTTAGAAATAAAAAATGCCCAACCTTCACTGAAACAAAACAAGAAATCTTCACTGTTCCTACTCTCACTACTTTTTAGTGAGATTTTTTCCTACTTTCTTACATTTCTTACATTAAGTTGGGTGTAACAAAGTCTCATGTATAATGAGTGAATGAAAAACACAATGAATATTAATAAAATAAATAAGTATTCTTTGATTTATGTTAACAGAGTTGGACATTTCTGTTTATTCTAATATCTTGCAATATTTAATTTGAAGAAATATAAAGAAATAAATAAATTACTTTTTCATATTATGAACAATACAATTGAATTGATAAAACAGAAATTTGTTTCTTTGTAAACCAAAATATTAAAAATTAATTTTCTTTCAATAACATTGTTTAGTGACGTTCTCTGTTTTCTCTTTTAAATTTCACACATGTAAATAAATCTAAATTGAATGTAAAAACGTTCCATATATTTTTTGCAAAGTATAATATATTCAGTTGATATGAAACTTTCTTTCAAGAATCATTTTTCTCACGGTAAGCAGGTAAGAAATCTGGTTTCGTGGAAGTTCGTCACTTAGGTTTCCGCTTGACGATTCAAAGTTCAGAAATTCTAGGATTGAGAAGTAGCAAGAGCAAAATAACATAACATATCTCTTAGCATATGTTACAGGACTTCTGCATAGTGCTGTATATTGTCAAATTTATACTAATTCTCAATTACTGATTATAATGTAATATTATAAATATATTAATATAATACATAATTATATAATATCATTAATATTAATATAACATTAATATATTACATAATTATGATTTCATAATATTATATTACACTATTACACATACTCTATACTATCACATATAATTATATATTATTAATTAATTTGAAATTATCATATCTAATACAATTATCAAAAAAATTGAATCAATTAATACACAGCTTCTTCCAAATAAAAATCACGTTTATACATTTCCCTTACTCGAGTTTCTCCACAGCAGATCTCATAAGGAAGCCTTGCTGCTTGATCATCGCCAATCTCGAGTTCCTCCTGAGATCGCATATTCTCAAGGTCACTGAATTCAGGTCGTAATAGAACTCGGATCCCTCGCTTCCGGAAGTTTCTGACAAAATATCGTCGATTTTTCTCAAAGCTTCCTGTTTCAATTTTGCGTCGAAGGTTCCACAAAGTTCGCAATAGGAATTTCTTAAGGATTTCTCGAATGCAAACCCTTTCGACATCTGTTGACTAGTGAACGATGCCACATGCAACATTTCGTTCAATTTGTACTGTTTGTCGTACAGGATCTCGTGAATTTTCAGCAGTAATTTTTGGTGGTCAATCTTCCTGATGCCGCAATTGTTCAACAGAGATACCACGTCCAATGGATTGAGTGGCATGACGTGTTGAGGGGTTGGCACGCTGATTTCTACACCCCTATTTCGCATAGCTCTGAAACAATGCACACAAAATAGCCTTTGTAGTGGTATTTTTAGATATATGTCTTGTAGGATTTTTGCGTAGGAAAATAAATAATTTTTATAAAAAATAATTAAAAAATAAGAAATTAATTCTAATCCATCTCATCCAATAATAACTGTTAATATATTTTATCTAATAATTAAAATATATATGGAAATTAAAAATAAAATTATTAAATAAAAAAATTGTTTAATTAAATAATTTTGAAAAAATTATTCATTACAATGAATAATTAAAAAATAAAATTATTCGTTAGTTTTTGTAATGGAATTTTCGCACAGAAAATTCACATGAAAAATAAAATTAGTTTCTGCAGCATAGTAAGATTTTTAGTTAAGAAATTCACGTGGAAAATAAAATTATTCGTTTGTTTTTAAAATATTATTCTTAGATAAGTATTGCGTGTAGGATTTTTAGGTAGGAAATTCACGTGGAAAATAAGATTATTTATTTTTATTATAATATTTTTTGATAAATATTTGATATGGAAATTTTACGCAGAAGATATACGTAGGAAATAAAATTGTTTACTTTTTGTAAAATTTGTTATTAACTATTATTCGTTATTTTAAAAAAGATTATAATATTGAAGTTACAAAAATTCTTCGTAGCTTCTAGTTTTCAAAGGTAACGTTGTCAATAGCATGATTTGTTTTCAGTGGCCAAAAAATTTGTCTCATTTAACGGTGTTAATCTTAATTATCAGGAAGAGTTATTCTAAATATAAAAAGTTATCACTATACCAAGTGTTTTGACACTTAAATTTAAGATTTTTCAAAAAGTGGAGTTAAACGATGTGTAAACGGAGTGAACGGCTCGTATGTATAATATACCATTCTGCTATTAGTATTATAATTTATCTAATATATGAATAGACAATAAAGAAAATACATTTAATGTACTAGAATACATTAATATATTACTCGAAACGTATATTACATTAGTATATTAACTGCTTCAAGAATGACTACTAGTTACTACTGCTATATTAGTGCAATATATTCCTCTGATTAATATCACAGTATATAGTACCATTAATATGTTTTAGGATACCTAAGATACTTTAGATAATATATTATTGTAAATGAACAGAAATATACTAATATTACTCAGCTGATAATTATTATAATAATTTGAAATAACCAAATTGACAAAATTAATAGAAAACAAAATCAAAGAATAATTGTCCTCCATTTCACAGTAGATCAAAATAAAATTGCAAATTTAAATAGAGGGAAAAACTTAAGATAAGGAATCCATATAGGATTAACCGAAAATAACTTAACCCTCTATCCACTTACCTGGATATCTCTCCGTAACGAGGATCCATAGTGAGGAATAACCGGAAGTTCTTATGAGCCCTCACGGTGAACACATTTCCTTCTTGATCGACGCCCTTCTCGCCAATCGTTAGCGCGCCGTTTGGTTCCAGTAACCCATTCAATCGGTCCAAGATTGCTGGGCTGCAGAGATTTACCTGGTCCAACAGTAACCATGTGCCATTTTGCAGACACTGAAATGGAAAATGCGATTCTTTTATCGGATTCGTTTAAATTTCCGGAAATTTTCTGGGTAATTTAACAAAATGTGGAAAAATGCATACTGTATTTTGTAGAAAAATTTTGTAAAATATCAAAAATGAAAAAAGGAAACTAGCTCGAAAATTATAGTCCTGTCGTATATATTTTCATATACAAGATAATAATTAAATATTAAGTAAATAGTGATGAAAGTATCATAATGTAGTACAATAGTAGTATAATAAAGTATATTAGAGTATAATAATATATACTACTATAATATAGACTACTAAGGTATAATAATGTAGAATAATAATAGTATAATTAGTTGGAGAGCAATAAGTCGAGTGTAATAATATATAGTAGCATAATATATATATATATATAATAATATAGGATACTGGATATACTAGGATATAGGATATTGTAACATAATATTATAGTATTATATAGTATTATATTATAATATTGTATAGTAAAGTATGACAATATAGTATAATAACATAATATAGTATTATAATATAAAGTATAAAAATATATTATAATACAGCATATTAAAGTATGATAATATAGCATATTGAAGTATAATCATATACTATAATAGTACAATATAAAGTATAATAATACATAGATAAAATTAATTAAACTGGAATAATCAGAATAAATAGATATATGTAATTATATCAGGATCAAAATAAAAATCAACATTAATCTTATTAAAACTTTCGTAAAAACGAAAAAGATTTTAAACCAGTCGTTATGGTCAGTTTAGTAGTTGTAGTGTTAATTGGATTAGCCCTAGGAATAGGATTGAAGCCGCAGGTAATTCAAGTTTCATAACTGGAGAGCGGATCTTCATGCAAGTGTAATATGTCCAAGTATGCAAGATATATGTAAAATATACCGAAGAAAATTTGTGTCGCAATTTTAATTACGATTCATTACAATAATTTTTCCCTTTTTAATCTACGATCTTTCTACATCATATGACGTAAGAGGGAATATTTAAATTTGCAATAATAATTTGTGCCAAAATTTCTCATAGCTTTTCGACATTTACATCTTCCAAAATAGCACCAATTTTAAATACTATATTAAACTTATTTATTTTTGTAATACAGTCTGAAATTTATATATGAGCAAAAAGAAATGAAATCCATATCTAAAATGTTTAAAATATTTACATTGAGCGTTAATGTTTAGGAAAATGATATTCAAGTTTCATTCTTCATCCACAATTATCATATAAATATTTTTAACAGGTAATGTATTTATAGAGTAAATAGTTACTTATTCAAAAATATAGAGAATGCAAAATTTGCAAAATGAAAGCTATGTTTTTAAAATTCTCTAATAACAAAATAAATTTCTGTTTAGATTCCATAATTTTATTTGTTTTCTCATAAAAACATGTATTTGCATAAACATTCGTTGTCCATTTATTATCAACAAATAATTATTAAAATTAAATATCATTAATATTCATGTTTCATATGTTATTTTACTTTAAGTTTATATTCTATGTATCACTCTTATATTTTTCATACGTTTTGTTGAAAAATTGATTGATTTATGTTTCTATGATTAAAATTGATTCGTGTAATTTTGCAAGATATATTTCCAAAGGAGTTAGCAATGAGTAATTATGGTTTCCTAATATACAGGGTGTCTCAGCAACGGTAATACAACCAGGAAAGGGGTGACTCTATATGCAAAAACGATTCGAAAAAAAGGAATAAAATTCTTTAATTCAAAGTTTCGTTTTTGAGAAAATCGACTTTGAATATTCACCGAATACACGTGTACTTAGCTATGGCTTATATGAGTAGACTATCAATACATGAGTATCGGCGGTACAATCGCGGAGGGGGTAATTCTAAATGAAAAAGCAAATCGAAAATGAAGAATAAAATTTTTTCATTCGAAGCTTCGTTGTCGAGAAAATCAACTTTGAATATTCACTGAGTGCGCGTGCACTTAACTTTGGCTATGGCGGATCGGCCATTATTATACCAGCGCACTCGGTGAATATTCAAAGTCGATCTTCTCGACAACGAAGCTTCGACCGAAAAAATTTTATTCTTCATTTTCGATTTGTTTTTTCATGTAGAATCACCCCCTCCTCGGTTGTACCACCGATGTTGATATACTGATGGTCCATACATCTCAGTCATAGCTAAGTACAGGTGTATTCGGTGAAGTCGATTTTCTCGAAAACGGAGCTTCGAATTAAAAAATTTTATTCTTTTTTCTTTCGATTTGTTTCGATTTCTTTGCGTGTAGAATTACCCCCTTTCCGGTTGTACTACCATTGCTTGGACACCCTGTATATTGGAAATTGTGCAGAACAGTTCTGTTTTATCTCTCGTGTATAATCTTTTGATCGATTAAGGGATATGTCAAAATTTCTTGAAAGAGAGTTTTAAGTTAAACCCACATCTCAGATTTCTTTACAATGAAGCATTATAGCCAATCACAGTCAACTCGATCGAAATTCGGGGTTTGCTCCTTTTCTGACAGTCCCTGCATTTGCTTACTAGCCTGTTTTCTCCCTTTATTACTTTTCTGAGAGCTTGGCTTGGAATCGATTTAACGAATCATCAACCACCTTCAAAATTCGTTTGGACCAATCCAATTCACCTTTTGGTTGTTTGAAGGATATATCGGGTGTCTCATTTCACTTGCAGTGATTATTACGAGTGATTGAACCTATTGACGAATATTTTTGCAAAAGTTGTTTGACATAAAAGGGGACTTCATATCCAGCAAATTATTTTTTAAAGACCCAGTGGTTTGACGTTTATCGAAATTTATTGAAATTTATTCAACAAGCTGTCACATAAGAAAAATTAAGTCCAATTTATAAATTTTCAAAATTTATAAAGTTAGAAAATTAAAAGAATTGCGTATATCACAAAATTTACAAAATTGACAAATTAAAAATCGTAAATTACGTTATAATGTACATACAGGGTGTTCCATAGTAAGAGTCACACTTGCACTTGGTTAGAAATACGTACACACGATTGACAACGTTATATTTTCTCATGGTACACTCAACACGTTTACTATCACAATAAAATTTCTATTATTCTTAGGATATAATGAATTATCAAATAATATGACAAAAACAAATAAAAATAAACCGTCTATTTTGCAATGTTTTCCATTTAGTAGCGTTGTTCAAATTTCCAAAATATCGTTTAAATAAAAGAAATATCGTGCATTTAAAAGATCAGTGTCACTAATCACTGGTGACCATTGTGGCAGTGAAGGTTGATGTTATCATCCCTCAAATAGTACTACTGAAACGCCAGCACTGCGAATCATCTGCCTATCTCAAGCTCGTGATTATCTTGAAATCCGATCAACTCACGGCTATCTTCGCCCTCTAATAACCTTGCACCACCTAAATAATCAGCTGCTCTTCATTAATTTGACGTGCAGCGTATCTAGGACATCGTCGTGTCGCACAATCCCAGGTGCAGCGTATTGGTACCAGGCCTAATACTTGTAAACGAGGGTGTGTATGTCACGTGTAAAGATGCACACTGGCGACCAGTAACTCTTTCAGGTGAATGTGAGCTCTAAATAAATTAATCCAGATAGAAGAATACGGTATGTATCGACTTTCTCAGCAGTGACACCGTTAATACCGAGATACCATGTCTGACCAATCAGTGTGGATAGTTACAGGTATTTCATTTCTGCAAGTAATTTATCGATAACACGGAAATATTTTTGACAATGTCAATGAAGAATTTTTATTGTATAGGTAGGACCACGTTTACGTGCACTTATTTATATCGATTGTATCACGTTAATAAGTATTAACCGTTTGGAAGAACACGGTAGAAAAACCCTGAACAGCGCGATAACGCTTGCCTTAATCGAGTACGACGAAGTCCAAACGGCGCGATAGCGCTTGTATAATTTTATGTCGAAAAATCCCAATCGTCGCAATAGCGCTTGTTGGTGCTATGTGACGTACGTGCATCAGCAAAGTTGAGCGTGCCACTTCGACTGAAGAGCGCGATCGCGCTGCTTGGGACACAAATGGTTAACACTATGCTGTCCGGTAGCACCACGTTGGTGTCATGCGAAGACTTTCGGGAAAATGCCGGTGACACCACGTTGGTATTTCATTTCTGCAAGTAATTTATCGGTGACACGCAACTACTTTTGACAATGTCAACGACGAATTTTTATTATGTAGGTAGTGTTTCGTCGTGGAACAAGGAAGACCCGTTACGGTCTTCCAACAGCCAGGTCTTAGGATCAATCAATTCAGCATAGAAATTTTCCTCTCCGTGCCTTCAGCATGTTTGAATGCTTTACCTTTTTTTCTTTGACTTCTCGTGTCGCGGAACACGAGAATCCTGGAAATCCCTAATTTAACGAAATTAGGCGACGGCTCTTAAGACTTGGCTGACAATAGGCCTGAGGGCTCCACGTGGTCCGCACACGTTGGAAGCCTCAGGCCCTCGCTAGGGGTAATAAACGACCGATGGGGTCACCAGCGCGCGGGTGGACCCCAGGTACCCCACCTTGGAGGAAAGGGTTTCCTCCACTATCGTTGCTTTTTGGGGGAACCTTCCCTTTCCCCAAGGTCACCGATTTTCGAACCAAGGGAACGTCCTTGGTCAAAACAGCCAATTACATCTGGCGAGCTTCCGATTTTTCCTAAGACCGATCTTAGGAAGATCGAGGAGCTCACTTCCTTTCGACACTTCAGAGACACCAGTTCTCTTGAAACAGTTCCAGTACTCAGAGATACCAATTTTCTCAAAATCAACGAGACACCACGTTTGCTTCGAAACGTCGAAGACACGATTCCTTTCCGCTCGTGCAACTTAAACAGTTGCCCAAGATTAATTTGCCGGGCAACACGTGTCGTAGTCGTGAGACGGCCTTTCAACCCCTCGGAATTACGATAGTTCGATCGCGACGCGACAGATAGGAACACGTTTACGTGCACTTATTTATGTAGGATCTCGTGATTGGGTGGGTTGACTAAAGATAGTATTGTTGGCTTCTTTATAGAATAAAATAAGCTTATACATGTGGGAATGGAATAAGTGTGGCTCTGGGAAATGTCGAGGGTGTCTGGACTTAGAATGAAAGTGACCACGTGCGCAAGGATCGACTGCAAGGATTATTTATGGCAGAGTCGAGTGAAAGTTTAAGGGTGCGTGCAGAGTGGTTGAAGTGCCTGGCCCACCGAGGTTGCGTGAGAAAGGAGCATGACTGGAGAAGAAAGTCAGGGTATGAATGAGGAGGATGAACGGTTTAAATAAGGGTGCAAGGGTGCGGGCGAGGACAGTCCTTCACGGTCTTCAAGATAGCGTCTAAGAAGTAAAAGTCGAGCGTACCCGTAGCGAGTCTCTAGTTTCGTAGCCGATAATATAAGTATAAGCTTACTGTATTTTAAGAAGCAGTAAAGCAACGTTACTTTAGCCCATCCACCCACCCCGATCCTACATACACAGAATGACGGCTATGACGCAAGAGAGATTCGCTATGGGCACGCTCTTCTGACCTTTCTTAGACTGACTTGAACTTCTTATTCTCTAACGACACACTGACTAACTCTAGTACACTGACCGTCACACTCTCTGACACTCTGCTCTCTGCACCCTTGCACGAAATGTGCTGGGTCTTTTCGACATGAAATCTGAACAGCGCGACCGCGCTGCTTGGGACAAACACGGTTAAGATGATAGGCATAAGGACCTAAATTATATTTAAACCTTCATCACCACGGAAGGTCGTCTAAGTTATCACACACCCCCAATATTATTCGCTACCAATAGGAAGACACACACTCGCCACTTACATTTCACACCAAGCAATCAGTAAGTACACGAAACTTATAAAACTACCCAGACAGCAGTCACGAGAGAGTTCCCCTAAAAATCTCACGAAAACAGGCCAAGCATCACGACCAGACTATCAGTCAAGACCCACGACGATTAATTCAGTACGAGAGATAGTAACAAATCAGAACTCTTTAGTTCAACCCTAACCCCATGTCTAGCTTTATTAATTTAGAGTAGGCCGCATCCTAGTAACATTGTCGCATCCGCGTAAACGGGCCTTACAACACCGCGGAAGTCCCACCGTGCGAGTTGCAGTGTTCGGGACGCAACAAAGGGCCTGGTTGAAGTCTTTATGACCGGCGCCCCATGACTCGCGCACACGTGGACCCTAAATGCTTGGACTAACTCCTGAAAAAAACAATTAGTTTGCAACTAGACCACGGGACGAGCTTTTCCAAAATGAGACACCGTGTCTTCTGTATCAGGCATTCGATACTAAGTAATGTCCTTACATTAACATGAAATAGTACCTTGATTTATTAAATATCCACGACATACCTTCAAGGTTAAAGGATTTATTCTAGAAACACTTGAGGGAGTACAGAGTACGTCTCTTCGAGACAAGTGACCCAGGATTTTTGGGTTTTCTTTCGTAGTGGGAAAACTCTGCCACTGCAACTAGACTCTTTCAGGCCATGGCATAAATTCCTTATGTCTATTGCAATACTGTGCATTTAGCTACGTGTTATTAGGTCACTAGTTCTAATGTGAATACCGGTCGGAATTAATGGTTGCAGGTATTTGCAGTTACTGAAAGCATACAGCTGATTTTGGTAAAGTTACTGCTAATTTCGAATGAAATAGAAATAATCGTGTATGGGTACTTATTTTTATAAATACTAACTTAATTATTATTGATTGTGTATAGTATTATATACTTAGTTATGATGTCAATACTAATTAGAATTATAATAGTTTCAGATAATTATATATAGGTAGTTATTTTCATAAATACTAATTTAATTATTATTGTCTGTGTTTACTATTATATACTTAGTTGTATATTATATACTGGTAGGTCGAATGTGAATATTACTCAGAATTATAATAGTTTCAGTTATTATATATAAGTACTTATCTTCATAAATACTAATTTAATTATTACAGTCTGCGTTTACTATTATATACTTCTAATACGAATATTAGCCAGAATTATTATAATAATTTTAATACTACTATTGAAGATATACAGCTGCCTTTGGAAAAGTTAATGTTGACTTTTATTTAAATAGAAATATATTCATAACATTTATGTGTACCTTTCATTATACCATTTTAATTATTATCTGTATTGTCAATTTTATATGTCATTATTATATAAGCCGTTCACTGCACAAATCGATTAACTCCACTTTTTGAAAAATCTTAAATTTAAGTGTCAAAGCACTTGGTATAGTCATAACTTTTTATATTTATAATAACTTTCCCTGATAATTAAGATTAAT